TATTCCAAAAGAGTCCTGTCTGTGAGGGTCATCTGACCCCCTGGACACAGTCCCAATGCCTTCCCTTAGCCCCGTGTATACTGAGGCCCGCTCTGTGGCTGGCGGGTTGTGTAACTGTTTTGGGAATGCCAGTGCTTAAGCCCTGGAGCTTTCAGTCTGTCTGTGCCAGGCTTTGTGAGGACAGAGGGGAGCAAAGGCGGCCCATTCCCTTAGTACATAACAAATATTAGAAGAGTCCAAATGTGATGGTGGCCTCTGAAGGGGACCATGGAGCTCCAAACACAAGGTGGAGGCTGTGTCTCCCCTGTGAAGTAACCCTTGGGGGGCGTGAGCTGGCTAGCCCCCTCTGCTCGCTGCTATTCTGTGTACAGCAGACATTTTATGACTGTAGGGCACACTGGGAGAGCAAAGGCTAGTTGGGGTGAGCATAGAGTGTGTCTGGTGCACAGGTGTGGCCGGAGCAGTGACTGGGGGTTCCTGGTGATAGGCTGTAATTAAGCGCAGTGTAGAAGTTTGGACTTGACTCATTAGCAGAGGGTGGTATGAAAAGGGTCTTTAGCCAGGTACAATGTGAGCCTGTTCCATTGAGTTCTAGGAAGAAGGAAAGACCAAGAGAAAGGGAACCCTGACCCGATGTGGTTCCCTGTGGCCTAGGGAACCTCAGTCCCTGAGGTCAGAGCACTAAAAAAAGGAGGGGGCCCTCAACTCACCACTTCCTGCCAGCTGCCTTAGCAACAGAAGGTTGTTTATAGCAAATCCCCAGGTGACTCTGCTGTGGGTGGTCTGAACTCTGACTCAAAGGGCAAGTTTGTAGAGTCCTGTCTTGCTAGTCTGTGTCTCACCTTGTGGTCTTTGACACAATCCACAGACATGGTTTATTTCCTCATCCGTCCCCATCTGCTCACTGCTGCTCGCTTGCCCATGTGGCTTCCAGTGGAGAACGAACAAGTGTCTCTTTCACCAGCAAGCACCTGAGCTCACTGTCACCAGTCTCGTTGTCCACTGGGGAGAGGACAGTAGTCGTTAACGAGGGGCAGTGGCACGAGGCTCTGCCGACCCCAGAGGCAGAGAAGAGGATGTCTGTCCTTCCTGTCGCTATGGTCCTGTGGTCTTGTGGTCCTCTCTCCTGTGGCCCTATATGTGGCAGCTCAGCCAACTGAAGCTGTAGCTCATCTTCATTGTTGATTCTGGGGCTGCAGCCACACCCGACTCCACCCTAAAGCGCTTAAAAGAAAGTGGGAAGAATATTTTCAGATATCCTGAACATTTTATTTTGTGAGGGACATTTTAACATTGTCAAACTGTTACACTATGCAAATCTATTACAGTCATGCCTTGGCATGGGATTGGAGCATTGGTTTCAAGACCCCTGACAGACACCCAAATCTGTAGCTCCTCAAGTCCCTTGCGTAAAATGTCATAGCACCCCCCTATACACTTTAAATCACCTCTGCATTATACATGCCCAATGTAATAGATATGCTGCATAAATAGTGATATCATACTGCCTGAGGATGACCTTGAACTTTTGACCCTCCAACCTTCCCCTCCCCGGTGCTGGAATTATAGGCATTCGTCACTACATCCAGTTTACGGGTGCTGGAGGTTTAGTACATACTAAGCAAGCACTCTACCAAATAACTTTTTCACATGCAAAAATGTTTTATCAATACAGCATGTATGAACTATGAAAGACTGATGAGCTTTAATGTGTGTATTGTGATACAGAGGTGGAAAGTCACCATCCAGGGCTGAGAGAAGGCTGGAAGAAGAGTGCCACATTTTATATTCCCAGTGCGGTCCTCATAGACCAAGGGGGTTCAGGTGCAGCAGCTTCCCAAGGCTCCCCCTGGCTGAGAGATCAGCGTCAGTCAGGCTGGCCATGCAGTCCAGAGCACTGGGAGGGTAAGAGCCTTCCCCCTTCCTGACAGGTGTCATCAGAAGCTGGAGGGGAGCGTTAGGTTTCCCACTGATCTTTTTCACAGTGAAGGTTGGTTGGTTTTGTTTGAAGGGCTGTCAGTGTTTTTGGGCTTTACTCTAGTACTGCTGACAATCCCCAGAGCCTACCTGCCAGCTTTAAGGCTGGTGAAACACGGACCATTTTCGCTAATTAATCATGTTAAACCTGTGATTTCCCATCTAAGGCCTTTAGCCCATCCTTAGGAGCCACATGGGTACCTGATTCTCCACTGTCCTTACCAACAAAGATCAGAGTGGCCACTGTAGGTCTCCAAGACTCCTACCCCAAATAAACTTTCAAATATTTACAACCTATGGTTGGCTGAATCTGTAAATGTGGATCTCATGGCTACAGAGGGTTGACTGTGCATATGTGTGTGTACGCGTGTGCGTGCGTGCGTGCGTGCGTGCGTGCGTGCGTGTGTGTGTGTGTGTGTGTGTGTGTGTGTGTGTGTGTGTGTGTGTGATAGAAAACAGACACAGGAAATCAAAGAACCCTGCAGTCTGATTTTAGGATAGGCATCCTCCAAATCTTGCTGTTCTGGGATCCACCCCTGGGCTGGGACAGTCATGGATGTGTGCCCTCCTGGAATAGGTCTGGTATTTTCCCGTATATAGTATATGGAAAATAAACAGATGGTTTGTTATCCATCCTGCTTTGGTTTTGTTTCTATGTATGCATGTATGTATGTGTGCAAGAGGGTTTTGCTATGTATCCCAGGTTTGCTTGAACTTGTGACCCTACTGCACTGCCTTAGCCTCCCCAGTTCAGGGATTACTGGTGTGCACCCAGCCAGTTAACTGGTTGCTATGTGTATTTTTTTCCTCTTAATTCCCCCCAACATATGAATTGTTTACACCTCCATCTCCCCATTCCTAACATTTTTGTCAAATTCCCCAATTCGACATTTTCCTTGCAATAAATTCTCACTGTAAAAGAGGGTGTACCCCTTTTTAATTTTGATCCATTTCTGAAAGCGTATTCTCAGCCCAGCTTTGACAGATTTATATTCCTCCCTGCCCACAAAGAAGCGTCTACTTCCCCCACACTTTGGGGCAGTCCTAAATGTCAACATCAGCTTTCAGTGACTGCAAAGGTCCAGCAGCAGCCTTGGCCTTTAGCCACATGCAAATCAACACGGCCACACAGCCCACATTCTTGTTAACACCCTTTTTGAGTTGAAGATCTTGTAGAGCTGAAAATAATTATAAAAACCTCTCAAAGCAGCCACTACTCTAGTGTAGAAGAAAACTATGATTCTGGGTGGGGGAGGGGGAGGGGTAGAGTGGGGGAGGGGTGGGGGTGAGGTAGGGAAGGGGTGGGGGAGGGGTGGGGTAGTGGCAGGATCCAAAGCCCTAGTCCTCTGGGTTATGCTACCCCCACCCCCACCCTTCTATACCAGCTACACCCTGAGCCTCTTTCCTTCCCAAAGCAGCACTGGAGTGTTTTCTTTTCATCTTTACAGAGACAGGAGCAAGCCTCTACTCCCTCAGTGCTTAGGATCAGTGTTTCTGCTGCAGGGAATGGCCTGCAGGGAGGAAGGCTTGCTTTCCCCTGGCAGGATCTTCAGTGGGCTGCTTTTGCCCCTGTCAGCACTCCTAGTTGTTCTTTTCAAAATATTTTTTTATGGAATGCATTTTGATCACATTCACCCCCTCCTCCTGCTCCTCTCACATTGCCCTCTCTCCCCTTACTTCCCTACCCACCCAACTTTGAGCGCCGCCCCCTCCCCCTTCAGTCTAGTCCAGTTTGTGTTACCCAGCTAACCAGAAAGCTGACTCTCCTCCGAGCGCTCCCCACTTGTGGTGTGGACTTGGTGCCCGACTCCACAGTGGGATTTCACCTGGCCTAAGCTTGTGCGGGGCTTGTGCATCTGTGAGTTGGTGTGTGCAACTCTTCATGTGGCTGGGAAATACATTCCTTGAAGTCGGCCACCACCTCTGGCTCTCACAAACTGTTCTTCCCTCCCCAGTGTGTGGCTTCTGCTGCCAGCCTGCTGGAGACTGACAGCACTCCCACTGTGTCCCCTCCATGACCCCTGCTTGCCACTCTTTCTGGGCACTCTGTGGCAGCATTTCCCAAGGTCACTCTTTATTTCTCTCATCACAATCAGTCTTGGCCTGTGAAGGCCCCCATCATTCTTCAGAACCCTGGGCCCACATTTCCAGCTCTCTCCTCTGCCTTAGCTGGGAGCTTCTCAGTCCCACAGATCTTTGTGGGAGAGGGCCAGGCTGTGATTCCCAGAATGGGAAGCAATATCCTTGGCCTCTGCCCACTTTGTGCCGGTGATACCCAGAAACATTCCGACATTGCAGATATCCTGGTAGGGGAGAGAACTGCCCTTGGCTGAGAACCACCACAACACCCGCTCCTTCCTCCTCTTTGTCCCGGCTTAAATGGATGGGTGAGATTCCCTTTAACACCAGCATGACTTTAGCGTGATACAGAGCAAGAAGACAGAGGGAAGGATGGCAGATTTGAGCTGCAAGGGGCCTCCCAGAGCACAGGCATGCTAAGCTTGCACAGCCCCTGTGTCCTCTGGGCTCAACAGCCTCAGCTCTTTCTCAGCAGAGTGTCCCAGTCGATAAAAGATGTTCTAGTTGATAAGAGGTGATGTGAAAGGTGAACTTTGGTGTCTTCTATCCCTCCAGAGCTCAGAGCTATCTTGCTTACGTGTGTAGCTCTGGGGCAGATGCTCGTTGTACAGGAACTCCCTGGACACAGCTTTTAGCTGTACTCATTAAAGACCAGTGGTATGATGTGAATCAGACCAGACCTGGCATGTAGTTGCTGTTCAGTGAGTAATGGTGAACGAATCCTATGAACAGCGATTGTCTCTGGGTGGTGGGACCATGTGTGACACACTCACATTGTTTTCCCTTGTTTCACTTTCTAATCTACCTTTGGGAGTTTTTGTTCCATTATAAGAACCAAACCCATGACTATTTCTCTCAAATTCAGAAAAGAACGCCCATGGATATTTTCCCCTAGTTCAAAAGGAAAAGACCCCTCCCTCATTCCATGTGTCTTTCTTCCCTAGGTTTGACTACCAGCAGCATGGCAACAAGCGCTGTTCCGAGTGACAACCTCCCCACCTATAAACTGGTAGTGGTAGGAGATGGAGGTGTGGGCAAGAGTGCCCTCACCATCCAGTTTTTCCAGAAGATCTTTGTGCCTGACTATGACCCCACCATTGAAGACTCGTACCTGAAGCACACGGAGATTGACAATCAGTGGGCCATTCTGGATGGTGAGACACAATGACAGTCTTGCATGGGGTGGGTCATTATATGGGTAGGATCGGGGAAATTGGATAGGCTTTAGTGGTTTCCTGCTTGATGTTATTATGGGATGGTTGCTATAAGGCAGTATGCAGCTTCCAGGGGGGAATTCTAGCTAGAGGTCAGGTCCCGGCAGAGTGCTTAAAGACCTTAGCGACAACGGAAGTGGACAGTGAGTGAAGAGGCCAGGTAGAACCCTGCCAACTCAGAAACGCTGGACTGCGAATTGTTTCTTTGAGCACAAGTTCTGAGGAGCAGGCACAGAAGTCCAAGCTAATGAGTGGGAAGACAGAAATCTTCCTTTTTTAGATTTATTAAGGAAAACCGAGGAAGAGCTCCCAAGAATAGGAGGCACTCACAACACCTGAAAATTTATTTCTTAATAATCAGAGTTTACTTAGGAGGTGTTCCTTTGTTGGGAGATCTTGCATCTGGGATTGTACTTCTACTCTAGTCAAAATGAGTGCTTTTCAAAGTGTGGTGGTCAAGGAGCTTCCTAGAAATGTGAATAATTCCCAGGCCCCTTCTCATTGTGAAACTCAAGGGTGGAGGGCAATGGCTTGTTTTTAGCCTGCAGGGGTTGCTGAAGCTGGAGACCACTGCTCTAGATTCCCACTGGCCATGAGTTCCTACTGCCGAAGTATCTTTTCTGGACACTGGTCTAGGAGGAGGCTTGGAAAGCTGCTGACTTACAAGTTTCTTTTCAGATAAATATTTTTCTCAGTCTGTGTCTTGTTTTCCATCTTCCCGACAGTTCCTTTCAAAGACTAGACGTTTTTTTGTTTTGATGACGTCTAGTCTATTCGTTCTTTTACAGGGTGTACTTTTGGTATTTTGTCTAAGAAATCTTTGCTTAACCCAAGGTCATGACAGTATTTCTCATGGTTTCTCCTGGAAGTTTAGTTGTTTGGATTTTTCATTTACATTTTGTTCCATTCTGTACACGTTGCATGTGGTATGGGGGTGGGGGGGAACAAACCTCCCAGAGTTCCTTGTTGCAGATTCTTTCTTCCAACTCCCAGTCAACTTTGTCCCAGTAGTGAGAACCAATTCCCCATGTAATCTGTTTTTGATCTGGATGTGTCATTTAGGACAAATTACCACTGCCTTAAAAAACTATAGCTTTATGATAAACTTAGTAGTCAAAGCCATGAGGATGAATATATGAATTATAGACTCAGTTAAAGTTTCTGATTTTGTTTGGAATAGTACTGAATTTGTGTACAATCTGAAGGAATTTTTGTAATGTTTGGTGCTGAACCTGGGGCCTTAACACATGCTAGGCAAGTGACATAGCCCTGAACCATGTCCTCAGTCCTGAGAGCTGTCTTAGCTGACAACACTGAACCTTTTAACCTGTGAACACTGTCTCTCTCCACTTATTTAGGTCTTCCTTGATCTCTCAATTGTTTTGTACTTTTGAATACATGGGTCTTTTACGTACATTTTGTCAGATTTATACTTATATCTGCATTGATGTTACGATAAATGTTTTAAATTTCAGCTTCATTGTTTGCTGCTAGAATATATGCGTATAAATGATTTCTAATTTCTTGGGGTCTTTTTGTTGTTGTTGTTGTTTTTGAGACAAGGTTTCTTTGTGTAGCCTTGGCTGTCCTGGAACTCACTCTGTAGACCAGGCTACCATTAAACTCATAGAGATCCACTTGTCTCTGCCTCTCAAGTGCTGGGATTAAAGGCATGCACCACCACCACCTGGCTATGAGTTCTAATTTTTAAAATTAGCTTAAGATAGTGTATGGGTTTCATTATGGCTCTTTACACATATATGCTATTATACTTTATTCAAATCCATTTTCCCTGACACTGCATTCCCTGTGCCTCCTGACCGCCTCCAATACAATTGACTTTTTCTATTAATCACAGAACCTGCTGGTTATTAACTTTAGTGGCTCTTTATGAGATTCCTTTCTGCATGGATGGCCATGCTGTGGTAAAAACAGTTTTATCTTTTCCTTTCCAATGGATGTTTTTTATTTCTTTTTCTTGCCTTATTTCAGTGACTAAAGCCGCCAGTATTATGTTGAGTGACATCCTTGCCTTGTTCCTAAGGGGAGTGTTTGGTCTTTGGCATCAGTCTGATGCTAACTGTAGGTTTATTTGGTGGAGATGCTTCTTCCCCTAGTTTTCAGAGGGCTTCAATCAGGAACGGATGTTGGATGTTGTCAAATGTCGTCTCTGGTTGAGATAATCACACGGCTTTCCTTTTTTAGTTTGCTAATGTGGTAAATTATGTTGCTTCCCCCCCCTAATTTTTAAAAACATTGCAATTACTTGTAATACTTTTATTTAGTGTGTGTGTTGAGGGAGATTGGGGCACGTGCTATAGCCTCTGTATGGAGGTCAGAGCACAATTTGGGGGAATCCATTCTCTCCTTCCACCATGTGGGTCCTGGGAATTGAGTTCATGTCATCAGACTTGGTAGCAAGTGCCTTTATGCACTGAGCCATCTTGCTGGCCCTTTTCCTAATGTGTAACTAATTTTTCATCTCTGAAATAAATGGAATGTGGTTATGATGAATTGTCCTTTCATATGCCATTGGCTTCAATTTGAAAGAATTTGATACTTGTCTTCTTGAAGGATATTAGAACATTTAAAATTTTTAATTTATTTATCTAACTTTAGTATGAAAGTAATTCTGGCCTTCTAGAATGAGTTGGAAATTAACTCTTCTTTTTCAGTTTCTCTAGGAGAGTTTAAGTGAGTCTCTTCTAATTTTTCTCTTACATGTTTAGTAGAATTCACCAGCAAGATCATCTGGACTACAAGCTGTATGGAGAAGATTCTAAACTACAAATTAAATGTCTTCAATAGATATAGTGTCATTGAGTTGCCTCTTTAGTCTTCAGTGAACTTTGGTAGCTTGTGATTTTTTAAAAAAAATTTGGTTCATAATATTCTTTTATTATCTTTACAATACTTGTAGATTCTACAGTGATGTCATCTCTCATTCCCAATATTAGTATTAGTATATTTTTTCCTTTTCCTGATCAGGCAGGGTTGGGTTTTATGAGTATTGATTTTTCTCAGAGTCAGCAATTGCATCCATTGATTATTCTCATTTAGTTCCATTGTTTTTTTTTTTCACTCATAACTATTCTTCCTTCTTTGTTATTTACTTTGGATTTAAGTTTCTCTTGTTCTCATGTCCTTGAAGAGGAGTGTCTTGCTGTTCTGCCCAGGCTGGTCACCTTCTCATGGGCTCTGTGATCCTTCCACCTTAGCCCCCAAGTACCTGAGACTCAGGGACTCACTGTCATGCCCCACTTCATTCTAAATGCCTGAAATGCAAGCTGATGCTGTTGAGTCATTTTTTCCTTTTCTTGGGATATTCGCTTAGCACTATAAAATTCTCTGCATTACTCCTTTAGCTGTACTTCACAAATTGTAACATGATATGTCTACCTTCCGTCTCTCCATCTGTCTGTCCATCCGTCTGCCTGCTTGCCTGCTCTCCCTCCCTCCCTCCTTCCCTCCCTCCCTCCCTCCCTCCTTCCTTCCTTCCTTCCTTCCTTCCTTTTTTCCCATGACAGGATCTTACTATTTAGCTCTCTCTGGAACTCACTGTGTAAACCAAGGTGGACTTCAACTCACAGAGATCTGCCTACCTCTGCCTCCCAAGTGCTGAATGGGTTAAAGACATTACACCTGGCATATATTTTAATTTCTATCCATATCAAATTCTAATTTCTCTTGAGAGTTCTTCTCTGACCCGTGGGTTATTTAGAAGTATCTTACTTAGTTTTCAAGAATTTGGGACTTTTCCAGAGATCTCTGTGTTCTTGATCTTTAATTCCAGTGTGTCAGGGAACATACAGTACATTATTTGAAGTCTTTTTTTTGGGGCTTGTCTCAGTGCCCAGAAGATGGACTGTCTTCATAGATGTTCTCAGAGTCTGCTGTCACTGCCTCATAGATCACACTGACTGATAACATCCAAGTCCTCTGTATCTTTATTGGTTTTCTGAATATTTGTTCTGTTTTATATAAAGAGGGGTACGTTTCATGTCAGGGTGTAATTGTAAAGTTCCTTATTTTCTACTGCACATTTTTTAAACACCCTGTTGTTAAATGCATAGATGCTTAGGACTGATAGAGCTTCTTGACAAATGGTTCCTCATAGGCGTTTAGGACTGATACAGCCTCTTGACAACTGGCCCTCTGGTCATATTAACATGGCTTTCATCATTCCTTGCATTCACCTCTCTGTACTGCCACTTGAAACTGTCAGGACTTTGCAATGGGCACCTGCATTCCACCTATCAGCAGCATCCCCACCCTCCACTGAGGGGATGCATGTTACGGTATGAGAAGTGCATCGTCTATGGAACACACCAGCCTTTGGGGGCTTGTCTGCAGTTATGGTATGAGAAGTGCATCGTCTATGGAACGCACCAGCCTTTGGGGGCTTGTCTGCAGTTATGGTATAAGAAGTGCATTGTCTATGGAATGCACCAGCCTTTGGGGGCTTGTCTGCAGTTATGGTATGAGAAGTGCATCATCTATGGAACGCACCAGCCTTTGGGGGCTTGTCTGCAGTTATGGTATGAGAAGTGCATCGTCTATGGAATGCACCAGCCTTTGGGGGCTTGTCTGCAGTTACGGTATGAGAAGTGCATTGTCTATGGAATGCACCAGCCTTTGGGGGCTTGTCTGCAGTTACCGTATAAGAAGTGCATCGCCTATGGAACACACCAGCCTTTGGGGGCTTGTCTGCAGTTATGGTATGAGAAGTGCATCGTCTATGGAATGCACCAGCCTTTGGGGGCTTGTCTGCAGTTACGGTATGAGAAGTGCATTGTCTATGGAATGCACCAGCCTTTGGGGGCTTGTCTGCAGTTACCGTATAAGAAGTGCATCGCCTATGGAACACACCAGCCTTTGGGGGCTTGTCTGCAGTTACGGCATGAGAAGTGCATTGTCTATGGAATGCACCAGCCTTTGGGGGCTTGTCTGCAGTTACCGTATAAGAAGTGCATCGCCTATGGAACACACCAGCCTTTGGGGGCTTGTCTGCAGTTATGGTATGAGAAGTGCATTGTCTATGGAATGCACCAGCCTTTGGGGGCTTGTCTGCAGTTACGGCATGAGAAGTGCATTGTCTATGGAACACACTGGCCTTTGGGGGCTTCTCTGCAGCCTGAGGTTTTGATCATGTCATTGGTGACAGGTAGACAGGTGTGTCCCTACTGGGAATTTGTGTGTGGTTCTCTCCCCTTCTAGCATGTCCTTCCTGCTGAAATAATTCATTAAGATTTTGTCTTTTGTTGTAAGGCAGATCTCATGTATGGCATGCTGGCTTTGAACCTGCTGTACGGCTGAGGTTTTGAACCTGCTGTGCGGCTGAGGTTGAACTTGAGTTTCTGATCCTCCTGCCTCTGCCTCCTGAGTTCTGGGATGATAGGTGTTGTGACAACAATAATAATTTTTTTAAAAAGCAGCACGAAAGAGGAAGATGCCATGCAACAGAGTTCAAACAAAGGTTTTTTGTTTTTTTTAATTAGGGAAAGGGATTGTAAAAAAGGGGAAAGAGGAGTGGGGAGACAGGCCTGGGGGACAGGAACAGCAGGAGAGAGGAAAGAGAAGGGGAGAGGGAGAGGGAGAAAGATGGGAGGTGGGCAGGGCCCTTTTAAAAGGGAACATGGTGAACAGGCACAGGTGGTCTCTTAGTGGCTGCAGCTGAGGGCCTTTCCTGTCAGAACTTCAAGGACAGGCCAGTACAGATGCCTGAATACTAACAATAGTATATGCCAGGCCTTTGGGCATTGTAGGCAAGCACTTTACCAACTTAGCTATGTTCATAGCCTATTAAATGTTATTTTATTGGTGAAGTCTTCTATGACCAAGGCATCTACATTAGTGTTCACTCACCCCTGTTATTTCTGTCAGTAATAAATAAATGAATTATCAAATACTGAACAATGACTGTACAATATCAGGTTCAATGGATTAGCTACATTATTTTCTTAATTCTTGTAAAAAATACTCATAACTATTAACATAAAATATTTACATTTATGCACTTCATTACATTTTATTTAGTGCATGTATGCATGCTCACACACAAGTGAGCTTCCCTTAGCTTGGGAACACATGTGGAAGTCAGAGGATAACTTGTGGGAGCTGGTTCTCTCCTTCCACAGTGTGGGTCCTAGGGATCAGAGCGAATCCTCAGGCTTAGAGGCTTTACCTGCTGAGACATCTATGCACTGTCTTTGTTGTTGTTTGGTTGCTTTTCCCCCGTCTTTTCCTTTCCTTTCCTTTCCTTTCCTTTCCTTTCCTTTCCTTTCCTTTCCTTTCCTTTCCTTTCCTTTCCTTGCCTTTCCTTGCCTTGCCTTGCCTTGCCTTGCCTTGCCTTGCCTTGCCTTGCCTTGCCTTGCCTTGCCTTTTATATGACGTCTCACTATGTAGCTTTGACTAGCCTAGAACTCATAAGGCCAAGCTGACCTTGAACTCACAGAGATCTGCTTGCCTCTGTCTACAGAGCACTTGGATGAAAGGCACATGCCACCATGCCCAGTTTTCACTTTCTAAAATAATTGCAGGCGTCATCTATTGAAATATATACCATACCTTAGGACAGACTGAATTAAATAAGTGGAAATAAGTTTCTTTACTACAGGCCTTATAAAACCCTTTACTGTACAAATGTATATTAGGAGCACATTTAGTAGAGTATATCGTTAGGATTTCCCAAAAGACCCATTTTTTTTTTTTTGCACTTCATTTTGGGCTCTGTGCCACAGAAAGCATTCAGAGACATATTGCATAATACATACAGAGAAGAACACGGCTTGGTACAAGTTGCGGCTCAGCCACTGTTATTTCTTTTTGTTGCCATGTAAGTCCCTTTAATGTTTTTCTAAGTAAATTTGAACATTTGATTCTGAGGGGGGAAAATATTTTCCAGAGTGCCTTTTAGATTTTGTGATAGCATTTCTTAGCAGCAGAGACAAGGAAAGCATGGCTGCGACATTGCTTTGGAAGCTCGGATCAATGAAACCAGGCCCTGACTTAGTGTCTTGTTAGAGTTTCTATAGCTGTGATGAAATACCGTGACCAAAGCAAGTTGGGGAAGAAAAGGTTTATTTGGCTTACAGTTCTTCAACACAGTCCATCGTCAGAGGAAGTCAGCACAGGAACCTGGAGGCTGGAGTTGTTGCAGACGCCATGGAAGGGTGCTGCTTACTGGCTTGCTCCCCACAGCTTGCTCAGCCTGATTTCTTATAGAACTCAGGACCACTAACTCAGGGATGATACCAGCCAAGGCTTTTCCTGGGCAACCAGTGTCCCGAGGTCCTGCTTCCCTGCTGGCTACCATCTAGAGATCTGCCAAACCTGAGGGTAGATGCCTTCAGTACTCCACATCCAGTCAGTCTCAAAGTGCTCTGGATTCTGCTTTCTGTTGTTCCAGACTAAGGGAACCAAAAGCATGACACCATAAATCCATGAATGATGATGGTAGTGACAGTGATTGTGTGTATGGGGGGGGGATCATCACGATAGGTATGATGTCGTTGGATGTTGCTGATGGAAAGCTCTTAGACACATTCTTTACTACTTATGAACACTCTAATGGTAGGTGCTGTTGCAGGTGAAAATAAGGGTCAGTGTTATGGTGTGAATACAGAATGTCTCCCATGGGCTCATGTGTTGAATGCCTGGTCACCAGGTAGTGGCAATAGTTTTGAAGGTGAGAGCTACTTGGCAGAAGCAGGCCACTAGAGGTATGCCTTTGAAAGTTCTACCCAGTCTCTGGTCCCTGCCTTGTGATTTGCTACCTGTCTACCATGTGACAAACAGCTTTGTCCTCCACATATTCCTGCCACCCTGATATCTGGTCTCCACACAGGCCCACAACCAAAATACCAAGTATAGTGAACAAAAAAAAATCTCCAAACAAATCCTTCCTCCCTTGAATTGGTTTCTCAGGGACTTGGTCACAGTGCTGGTGAAACTGACTGATACATTGAGTTACTGACAGCCAGCACTGGCTCAAACACCCAGTGACCACCCCATGCTGCATGATCTATTGGGCAGGAGAATCTTCTTCAGTGTGACAGCCTTCTGATGCCTCTTGGGAAATGGGAGTTGAACTCCCAGGGAGAAGGCACAGGTTGGATGGTCAGGATCCCATCCCACTCCTGGCCCATCTTCCTGTGCTCTGCTCCCAGTAGCTGTGGTCACGTATGCAGGCAGACTCAGGAGGAGCCCTCTGAGGTCCCACTCCAAGGAGGCCCACAGGCTTCTTGCTATCTTACAGATCTGCTTCTTGTTTTACTTCAAGGAGCCGCACTATCAGTGTCCTCCCAGAACATGGAGGATGGAAACAAGTCTGTTCATCCCAAGGCTGTGCAACCCTGGGCTTTGGAGCAAGTTGGCTCTGATTCTTTCCCACCAGGGTGTGAGACCCTCATCTCCCATCCCACAGTCATGAGTGGGGACATCTCCTCTACAGAGTCTGTCCACCCCTCGACTGAGGCTTTTCTTTGGTGCTTCCTCCTGGATTTCTGGTTCTCTTCTGGTCTCTGCCTTTGGATCCTTCCTTACCCTGGCTCGTACTGTGTGCCTTACTTCACTCCAGTTCTCCTGTTTCATGAATCAGGAAGCCCTGAACCTTCGGTAGAGTCTTGGAGTTGTATGTTTGTACACACACACACACACACACAGACACACACACTCACACCCTACTATTAGAACTATGTTTAAATATATAGGCTCTATAACCATCCTCACCACCTATTTCCAGAACTGTATCCCCCCGACCCCCGTGGATACTCTTTACCTATTTATTACACACTGACTTTCTGTTTCTCCCAGTCCGTGACATTCACTATTCTACATGCCTTGTGCACATGTTAAGGATCAGTGGGATTGTATCCTTATCCTTTGATAGATGACTTTGTTTACTTAGCGTTAGCTTTCTTTTTTTTTTTCCCAAGACAAGGGTTTCTCTGTGTATCCTATCCTAGAACTCACTTTGTAGACTAAGCTGGCCTCTGCCTCCCAAGTGCTGGGATTAAAGGCGTGTACCACTACCACCTGGAGGCTTTCCTTCCTTTTTAAAGCAGAATAATACCTCCCTACATTCTGATGATAAACACATGGGCCTTCCCCTCTTGACTGTGATGAAAAGATTGACTATGAGTAGTCTGTAATTCTCTTTGTGTCCCTCTGCTTAGCTCCTTGCTTTAGCAGTGTTGTGTCCTGTTGGTTCTGCCGGGTTAGCATCTGGAGGCTGCTGAGCTCATCGTGTCAGCCCGTGTGTTACACCCGGTGCAGATGGAGAAGTGACTTGCTTGGAACCACACCTGGCTAATGGCGGAGGTAGGCCTCAGCCTCCCGACCTTGCCAAGCACGTTCTCTGTCCTCTCATGTTGACTTCTACTTTGGCACAAGCTTTGAGTGTGCACAATACCTGTGGACACACACCTCTGTCCACTTACAAGAGAAGCAAGTGTTCCTGGACTTCCCCTCCCCACATGGCTCACTCCCTGCCAACCTTCCATTGCCACAAAGCAGCCAAGAGCTCTTCTCCAGACCCCTTCCTGCCCAGGAGCTCTCAGACCTTTGCTGTCCCTTGCTGTCTCCTCAGCAAGGGCTGTCTTTGTGAGGAACGAAAACCTGGCTGTCCTCTGGCACCCTGAGAAGCCAGGACATTTCCACCCTGGCTTCAGCCCCAAACACTAGACACAAGTGCTCTTGTCTTCTCTGGACCTGGCTTTTCCCCGAACATTTGAATCCACGTTCTTTCTGGAGAGCAGGAAAAGAGGAGGACATGGGAAGGGCAGGAAGGAACTGGAATGCTGCTTATGGAGAGCTTTTTCTGGGCTGAGTTTTAGCCCAGTGGTCACGTATGCTCACCACCCATGGCCAACAGTCGAGTGGGCCCATCAAATGCTGTCCAACCAAGAAGCGAGTATAGTCAGAGCTGGCTCTCCTACCCTTTGTCCTCTGTCCCAGACAGTGACTTGGAGAGAATTTCCCTTTTTCCTTGTATGAGCAAATATGGCCCCTGGCCTCAGGTGATAAATCCAACCTTGCAGGTCTGAACCTGACCCTTTCTCCTGGCTAAGGGAGCCATGCCTGCACAAATACAGTGGCCTGGAGCTCCCTGTTGTCCAGGGTGCTGGGGGCAGGGGTTGCAAGCAGCTCTCACTGTTCTCAGTGTTGCTTGGTGGGCCGTCTGCTAGCTCCATCACTTTAGGCCCAAGGTAAGGCAGCCCATCACTATAGCAGGAATATAGTGTAGGAAGCTGTTTTACAGGAAGCAGAGACAGAGAGAGAGTGGGGGGGGCGAGGAGAGGGGCCAGAGACAAGAATCCCTTCAAAGACCTGTCCCCAGTGGCCTGCTTTCTCCCTCTGCAAGTTTTCGCCACCAGCTGGGGGCCAAGCCTTCCGAGTGTCCCTGGCTCCTCTCAGAACTCCGGCGAGTCATGGAGCATCTTCCCTACAGTTCGCACACCAACCCAGGGGATCTTGGGCCTCACACACACCTACCCCACGGTCCCCTCTCTCCATGCACCATGACTGGAACAGTATGGCATCAGGAACACACACCTCTGGAGCTAGTAGCTGTGGAATATTACTTGCTGTTGTCCTTTCCCAGTCACGTTGAGGAAGCTGGGGTCATTGCCAAAGGGAATCCTCCCCCAAGGGCCAGGGAGCCAGCTGGAGGCTCCTTCCCTGAGGCAGTCCCGGGTGACCTGGCTTTCATAGCCTGCCAGTGCTTTGCAGCTGAAAAAAAAAATCCCCTTTTCTGGGGACAGTGGTGCACTCAGCCTTGCGGCTGGTCACCCAGCCTTACCCTATTACACGCCTGACCAGAGCGAGTACAGTTCAGACAGGAAGGAGCAAGCCTGTCGCTGAATGTGGTTTGATGCAAACCTGTAAGATAGCGAAGGAGGCCTAAAAGACAGGCTGACTGTCCTCCCTCCACACAGCAGGCGTGGGGAGTACAGGAGGCCAACGGCCTCTAGATGGGGTCCTCGTGGATGTTGTCATCTCTAGAAATCACTATCTTTATTGCTTTGTGTTCTGGAACCCTGATTTACCCCGATTAGTGAAAAGTCAGCTTTTAGTGCTTTTCCTCAAAGTCCAAAGGGACATGTCACCAAGGTCAAAGCATGTCTTGCCTGAGCCAGGGGATACGCCTTGTGCTTTTGCACACCTGTCTGGGCCCTCTTTGGAGCTGTGTCTTGGGTGAAGAGCCAAGGGAACGGTGCCTGGCTCCTGACCTCTGCCACTCGGCTGCAAAGTGTAGAGTTGAGCCAGGTTAAGAAGCAACTTAACCTGTGACAACCGAAGACACATGCTGGAGGCGGGGTCAGAAGCCTGCCACTGAGTCAAAGGACAGCTGGGACAACCGGTGGGGGCTTAGGCTTTCAAGTTGGAAGTCACAGCTTCAGCATCTGTTTGGAGTCCGGACAGCTAGTCTGGATCCAGGTAGCCAGGCCCACAGCTGGATAAATAAAGATGAGGAAGAGAGGAGTGGGAGTGAGAGGTGGGAAAAGGAAGTGAGAAAAGGAAGAGGAGAAGGGAAAGAGGAAGAGGAGGGGGAGGAGGAAGAAGAGAGGAGGAGAAGGAGGAGGAGGAGGAGGAGGAGGAGGAGGAGGAGGAGGAGGAGGAGGAGGAGGAGGAGGAGGAGGAGGAGGAGGAGGGAAAGGAGGCAGTCTCGACAGAGACATCGGGGACCCTGGCTGGCACACTTCAGTGCTGGCTGCCCTCCCACCTGAGACTTGTGTAAGCTAGCATGTGGGACTAGATCTTGAGCAGTCTGCACGTGACCCTGCCGCACTGGTGTCTTCCGTCTCTAGACTCTCCCTGCCTCCTAGTTGTGCCTGCATCAGCACACCCGGGCAGAACACCTCTTCCCACAGTGAGGAAGACTTTCTGTCCCCGGAGGCCTCCTCCTACCTTCTTGATCACAGGGAAAGCAGGCAGTTAACTTTCCCGAGAGCATAAGCTGGGTCCCTTCAGGGTCCTGGCCCTTAGGGAGGCTGGGTGGCAGGACATGGCTGGAGTCTGTCCCAGGTGTTTGCAGGTATGTGTGTCAAAACAGAGGCTGTCACCTCCTGGCTGCATGTCTCCTCAGGCCAAGAATAACTTTCGCTCATTTGTGTCCTCAGTTTTACATGCAGTTATTGGCATGCCAGGTTGTATGTGTTTTGATCATAATTTTCTATAATTACTATTTAAATGTTATTAGCATATAATATACAAAATAATGGGCCTTGTTATAACACTTTCATACATGCATATAGTTACTCCCGTTATCCCCTCTTATCCTCCACCCTTATTTTTTTCTCTTTCCAAATTGTCGCACACACACACACACACACACACACACACACAGTGATAGAATCTCTCTGTCTTAGACTAGGCTGGTCTCGAACTCAGTTTTCCTGCCTCTGTCTCCTGAGTATGAGACCACTCCTGACTTTTATTTTTAATGTAGATTCTTCATATGAGACACAATGTGGTCTTCATCTTTCCGAATCTGTTTTGTCTCACTCAGGGGGATGGTTTCTACTTCCATTTTTCTGCGGACAACAGCATCTCATTCCTCTTTATGCCTATGTAGTTCTGTAGTGGTTTATACTTGTTCCGGTATGTTCTCAAGAATGATATGGCTGGGCCATGCAGGTGTTCCGTTCTCGTCTTTTGAACAATTCCCATGGATTTCATAGTGCAGCACCCACTTCTATTCCGACAGCAGTGTATATGGTTCCTGGTGCCTGTGTCTTTGCCTGTGTTTGGTGCCAGTGCCTTGATGACAGCCATTCAACCAGGCTGGAGTAAGTAAGATAGGATTTCAGTAAACTCTTGATTTTCATTTCCCTCATTGTTAATGACAACGTACACTTTCCAGTTCTACTTTAGAGATTTGTCTCCTATGTGAATTTTAGAATTTTTTCTAGTTCTGTGAAGAATGCCTTTGAAGTTTTGATAGACTTATTTCTGCCACCTTGTTTCATAGCTACTTTTAATTAGGTTTGGTTTTGCCTTGTTGCATACTGGCCCCACATTCCTTGTTCTCCCTTTATCTCTTGTATTGACTAGGAAGTCTGAGGCTTTATTTCTGTTTCTCAGTGTTATGGTATAGACATAAGAGCATGCCTAGTTGTGTTTTTCTATCAGCAGCAGTACAGAATCAGGATCTGCAGTGTCTTCTCAGACAAAGCAAACTTCAGGTGGGGTTAAATATCCTTCACCACTGCCAGAATAAGGACATTGCTTAAGGCTGGGACATGGCTCAGAGGTTAAGGGCGTGGATTATTCTTGCACAGGACCTGAGTGGAGTTCCCAACACTCATGTTGGGGAGTCCACAAGAGCCTGCAACTTCAGCTCCAGGGGACCTGATGCCTCCTTCTGGCCTCTGGGCACTGCACTCCTGTGAGCATACCAACACACACACACACACACACACACACACACACACACACACACACACACACAATCCAAAACAAAAATAATTTTTCAAATTTAAACTAGTGTTTATCTCTTCTTCCCAAGGTTTTTTTTTCCCAAGGTTTTTTTTTTTAATTTCAAAATGCTTCAGATTTTAGAGATTTTATATTTGGAAATAAAACATTTCAGAGTCCTTCAGATGTTGAACTTGCTGGTTAGGTCCATTCTACTTGTAACTAATTACATTTTCCTGACCCCATAGCTCCCACATAGGTGATCATAGATTTTAGTTCTAAATTATCATACATTCTCTTACTCTGTATTTGTGCTGCTGCAGTTCTAACTAGGACTTCACCCATGCCTGGCCAATGCTCTACCACTGAGCTACACCCCATCCCCCCTTACCGGTTTATTTTGAGGCAGGGTCTTACTAAGTTGTCCGAGATCACCTTAAACTTCCCATCCTCCCACCTCAAGCTCATAAGTAGCAGAGAGGGTAGACCCGACCACCAAACCTGCCTTCCACAGTCTTCTAACTGAGCAACAAGTGCTATCTTCATTCAAATGTTTGCCTGACACCATTTATAATGCCACTCATCTTTCTCTTCCCTGGACTTAGTTTTCACTTTAATGACTTGTCTTCTCCCAGAATTCTCTTAGAAAGCATGGGTATGCTCCTGCAATGTCAGATACGAGTATTTCCCCTCCCAGAGGGTTTTTGTGTTATTGTTGTTTTGAAGATAAAATGTCTACATGTAGCCCAGGCTGGCCTTGAACTCCTGGTCCTTCTGCATTCACCTCCCAAGTGCTGGGATTAAGGTGTGTGCCATCACGTCAGGCTTCAGAGGGTCTCTTTTTTTCACATTTGTATTGATCTTTACTTTTTGGATGATCTCTAGGTTTTGTTTTTTGATAATATGTAGCTTCAAAGTCTGTGAACATAGTAACTACAGTATTAGTATCGTCACTTCTGCTCACAACTAATCTCGTCCCATGCACATAAACCAATCATACCACATTTGATTGGCAGTTAGAGTAGGCTTTACCTAGGAAGAAAGGCAGAACTGGAAGAATCCAGGCTACCTTAGACGTGGAATCCTGGGGGTCCTCAGATTACTCATTCTGTGGCTTTCCTTGTCACTTGTCCACAGGTGATTCTACATGAATACCCCTCCCCTCTTTTCTTCTCAGGATCTGACTTGAGGTGTTCCGTGGGCTCTGCCAAGCTCAGCAGCTCGAGTGAGAAACTGAGCCCCACAAAACTATCTTCACCTCAGTTGCTCAGTTCAGGGCCCAGCGGCACCCTCAGTTCAGCTGTGTCTTAGAAAATGTTCCACATCTTGTCACTTTGCCAACCGTGGTCCAGCCATGTCCATCACATTGTGCCTGGATTACCCTGAGCCTCCTGACTAGTTCCCTGCTTCTACTGGTGGCTTGTCCCTTGACCTCATAGCATGGGGCTAGCCTTTTCACAATGTCCTCTGGTTTGTGTCTTAGCCCACATTCTCCACTGGGCCCCATGATGCTCAGGATGAGGAAGGGTACAGGACAGCAGACCTTCCTCCCCCCCCCACTTCCAGCTGTTGGCCACACCCTTACCTCTCAGTTTTTTGGGGGGTGTTTACTCTGCTGGAATGTTGCTCCCGGGATCACATGACTCTGATCCGTCCTGCATTTAGTCATTGCTCAAAGGTTGCCTACTGGGAGGTAACTTCTTGACCTATCCAGAATGACAACAAAGGCTGCAGTCACCCTTCAGCTAACTAGATTGACCTCTATACTGTGTATTTGCCTCTGGTAAGGTTCCATCAGCCATTCAATTGCTTATCTGCTTCACCTCTGGATTTTGACCCCATTTATCCTATAACCAAAGGTCCTGCACCCTGCCTGGCATATAGTAAGTGCTCAGATATTTCTTAAATTAATAGACATAATTGCCTAGCTGTATACTCCTTTAATTATGTAAATACAACACAGGTATTTTGGGGGTTGGGTGTGAACTAGACAGGAACATTCTGTGTCAGGGAAGGAAGAGTGAGCATCAGGAGACCATGCAGTGGAGAGTGGGGGAGGGGGTGCTGCAGTGACCCTCCCCAGCTACACCTGGTTCCTGCCTCAGATGCCCCTTACTGCCATTTCCATCCTAAGTTGTGGACCTTGACTCCTGGAGGCTGTCCCTTTCTCAAGGCCTGCATGGTGTCTGTCTGCACATGGCTTAGACAGGCCCTCCTGACCGGGCTGGTTTCTCTGGCGCTTTCTCCACCCGAGGGCCTCAAGGTGGAGGCCCTGTTTCTATATAGGTGAAGGAGGAAATGGAGGTGCTGAGAGTCAGGCACACCCCAGAGAACCCCAGTTTGTAAGGGCTACACCAGCAACCCTAGCCCAGCCCTGGGGTTTTCCAGAGGGGCTTGTGAAAATTGACCTGTGACTTCATGAGGCTGGCCCCTGGGCATAGTGTTGTGATCCAGTGAGCACAGAGGCTGAAATGAGCCAGGCAGATCCTGACACTGAAGCAGGCTCTGAGGTGGCTGCCATCCTCCTGAGAGGACAGCTGGGCCCGAGCCGCAGCAGCCTGGAGGTTCTACAGTCTGTAGTGGCTCCAGTGGACTCAAGGGCACGAGTGACCTAATTCCTCTCTAGTCCTAGACACAGCAGGGCAGGAGGAGTTCAGCGCCATGCGGGAACAGTACATGCGCACTGGGGACGGCTTCCTCATCGTGTACTCCGTCACCGACAAGGCCAGCTTCGAGCACGTGGACCGCTTCCACCAGCTCATTCTGCGCGTCAAGGACAGGTGAGGGCAGCAGACAGGGCCTCCCTACTCTTGTTCCTGCCTTAGGAAAGCACAGTCCTCCCTCTCCCTCCCGGCCCTCCTCTCTACCCCCTCCCCCTCTTCCCTTCCCTCCCACCGCCTTCCCCTCTCCCCCCCTACAGATCTCCCCTTTACTTCCTCTGAGGTCTCCCTTGAGTCTTGGCTCCTTAGCTGCTCCCAAGGCTCCAAGGCCCCTCCTGTTTTTATAAACTATCCCTCAATCAAGGAATCGTTGGTTACATCTTTGTTTTCCAACTCCAATTTAACCAAATTGCATTATATGCAAAGAAAAGTGAATTTCCCCTCCAGAACACACTGAAATTGGTTAAATTGCATTTGACTACAAGATGTAAAAAGTCGCTCATTAAAGCCCATCTCACACTGCCAGTCAAAGAAGCAACACAAAAAGAAAACCCAAACGAAGGAAAGACAACAAGCTTTGCTAAATGCCGATAAAGATGCAGCAATCCAGTCAGTAACCATTCCACGGGGAAAGGGCTTGTAACTTTACCTGGCAGAGGGACGAGGGCATGCGGAGCAATCTGTGATTGGTTGCTGTGCATTCAGCCCATGAATATACGGACCTCAGAAGAGACACCCTCGGTGGTCCAGTGGTGGGGAACTCCTAATGTACTCACTAACCAAGGAAATAAAAGAGTAGCATATTTTCATTACAAATTTATATGAAAATATCTAATATTGCCCAGAATTCCATGAGGCTGATGTTTGGTTCACACGTCAGTAAGATGCGTATGGGGTACGCCTCTCCATCCCACACTTCCTCTTCTCAGAGCCGTGTTTATGTTGTAGCTGCCGTTTGTACAGTACCAGCCCTGAGTGTATCTGGGAAACCAGGCCCCTCACCAACAGCCTCAGGCCAGCCTCAACACTAACCTTGCAACAGACCCCAGGCTCCTTTCCAAGCCTTTGTCTTCTCTGGAAAAGAGGAGGCCCACTGGGGAGTTATTGTGGGGTGGCGTGGCACAAAGTCCTGTTGACATCGCCTTGAGTCGGTAGTGCAGGAGGATGAATCTCACTTGGCTATTGTTCTCCTGCTTCCCAGGGAGTCATTCCCAATGATCCTCGTGGCCAACAAGGTGGATTTGATGCACCTGAGGAAAATCACCAGGGATCAAGGAAAAGAAATGGCGACCAAACACAATGTAGGTGTGTGCGCGCATGTGCATTAGTGCGTGTGTGTGTGTGTGTGTGTGTGTGTGTGTGTGTGTGTGTGTGTGGTATGTGCATGCGTGCATGTGTTGGAGCCTCAGGGCTATGTGTGAAAGTCTGTATGTCATTCCTCCTGCAGTGCTGGTCTTTGGAAATGGGACTAAGGCTTCCTCCTGGGCAACTAGGCTCTGCAGAGAGGCCAGAGGGTGCAGAGTGACAGGATATTACTTGAAAGGGGCAGGAGGCCAGTGAGAGAGCACCCTCTGCAGCCATAAGAGGCTCTGGGGTGAGGGTGGACAGCTTCCTTCAGAGTGACCCAGAAGCTGTGGTATTTGGTACATTCCTAGCTGAGGGCTGCTCTGCCTGAGGCAGCACATAGCCAGCATGGGCCATGCTAGGTGATAGTTCTTCTGACTCAGGAACTGGCTCTTCCGGCTCAAGAGCTAGCACCTGATGACCATAAATGGTGGAAATCTGCTCTGTTCACTGAGCCCATCCTATGCCCAGCACTGTACTGGGGGAGCATGGATATCAAGTCCTCTACCCTTACAGCCATAGGCATCATTGTTGATAAACATTAACACTGAGGTCTCTCCAGCTGTACCCCATCACAAGCATGTTAGCTTTCTGAGTTCATTGTAATGTGCTTGCCCTCTGGATAGTGCTGGTCAGGTCCTTCCCATCCCCATATTGGCATGGTGCACTGACCTCCTTGCAAGGTAGTCCCATCTCTGCCCACTGGCTTACCCTACATTAGAGAAAGGCATGCTGGGAGCTAGTTTTGCCTGTTTAGCTTCTCTGTTTATTCCTTTATTAATGCCATTATCCTAGGTGCTGGGGAATAAGAGTTCCATGCCTTTTGGTTCTTACCTTTAATGATGGAGACAGGCAGTAAGCAAAGTGTACTGCAGTTTGTCTGAAGTTGACACATCTATGAAAACATGCAAACCAGGAGAGGGAGGTCAGGACTGGGGAGAGGAGGTGCCTTTTAAATAGGGTGGGATGGTCCATTTCACCAAGGACTTAAGGAGGCAAAGGGATACCCAGACAGATGTTTGAGAAAAGAACATCCTAGCAAAAGCCCCGAGGCTAGAGTTTGCAAGCTGTCAAACAAGCCACTGTGGCGAAGCAGGGGGATGAGGGTGAGTAGTCGGAGAGCTGACTGAAGTGTGGCTCTCACCGAGGCTGTGGAGGAAAGCCACTGGATGCTTGAGAGAGGTGTGACATGTGGCCACGCAGCTTCTCTCCTGTGACATGTTGAGAATAGTCCACTGGGAAAAGAGAAGAACAGAGAATCATGCAGGGGCTGCCCCAGCATCCCACGTGAGGCTGAGCAGTATGGGGGAGCAAGATTTGGGCTGTACTTCTAAGAACCAGCAGCACTTGCCCCCACACCGGATAAGGGGTGAGAGAGAAAGGTGGGACCATGTGTTCCGAGACGCCTAGACACTGAGGATTGCTGAGCTCCCAAGAGTGTGGGATGCCCAGGGGTAGGTGGTTTCCTGCCTCCCTTCCGAGTGTGTCCAGGGCTGTGCAGTATCTGATCCATAGGTAGGTTTCTACCTGGTTCCTAGCAGGGATGCCTACCACGGCTAGACATGTGTGGAGTTCACCAGAAGCTCCAAAGCTGATATAGCACGCAGCTGCCCGTAGGGGGCCAAGTCGGGAAGTAGAAGGTTCCCACTGACCCTCTGCTGGCCTGGCAATGTGGGGTTCTTACAGGCATTCCATTCTGAACCCTGTCTCCACACTGCAGGATGGTGCTTGCCTCCAAGGGCTAACTCAGCAAAGGCCAGGGACATGGAAACCTGGGAAGCCAAATAGCCACCCCACTGTGAAGGACACTGTCCTCTCAGGGTTATCAGCTCTAATAAAAATGCCAAAGGCCTGAGCTGGACCCTTCGTGTGTCTCTGCACTACACTAAGACCTGTGCTCGAAGCCACTGCAGTGTGTGGACATGTAACCCCACACTTGCAGACGCTGACCCCCGGTGTATCGTGGGCAAAGCTTCCCACTGACTGCTGTAACCCCTCGGCTTCCCCTGCCACTCTCCCCCACCCAGCCCCCATGCATTTAAGGAACCCATGACTCTAATATTCCTCACTGTGCTTAGCTTCTCTAAATGTAGTAGAATAAGAGGCACTAATTTTGTGATCAGGAAAAGTGAATGTTACAAAATGTAGCAGTCCTTTGGTCTAACCTCAGCCAGCTTACTTCTGCCCCACCCAGGAGGACAGGGCATGCTTGCGTGTGGAGGGATAAGTACTTCCTGACTCTCTGGGGTACCTATCTAGGACCTAGAATTGTACCTTAGCCTCCCAGAGCCTTTGCCCCACTCAGCCTGCCCAAGGCGTGGTATGGATGTGATCTGTGAGCCACAGCTCCCAAGTGCTGCCCCCATCAGCATCCTTGGATAAACATGGCTGCCGAGCTCCCAGGCTTATAGATACAGAGTCAGCCCAAGTGGGGCTGGGCTAGAGAGCTGGGGGCAAGGAGCCAGGGGACCCAGGTCCAGAATCCTTTCCACAGCACACCTCTCCTCAGCCCTCCCACTGACGTTCAGGAGCCCAAGGAAAAGGTCAGAGGTCACCCCAAAGGAGGAGTGTAGGAGATCACAGTATGCCTCCGTGTGGGAAGCGAAACAGTTTGCTCTGGAGTGTAAAAAACTGTCTGGGTTCTATTCTAGGAACTGTTAAGTACCTCTGTGACTAGGGAACAGGAGGGAATTAGAGAAGCCATTAGTGACTCTCTCTCTCCAGCCTTGCAAGGCAAGAAGCCTCAGGGCCTTGTGGGGGTTCTGTCCGATCCTCAGAATCTCTAGAGTCTGTTTTAAATGTGGGAGAGGTCTTTGTGGGTCACTGTGCCAGGCTGACTAAAATGAGCTTTGCCTTCCAGATCCCGTATATAGAAACCAGTGCTAAGGACCCACCTCTCAATGTGGACAAAGCCTTCCATGACCTCGTTAGAGTAATTAGGTAAGCACTGTACCCTCCCTGACAGCTGTGCCCCTCCCTGGCAATGGCCTCTGTTGTGGAAGGGGACAGCCATCTTGCAACTGGAATGCAAGAGGAGCACAGTTCCTGTGCTGGGCCAGGAGCCTGGGCAGTCCCAAGCCTGGTTTGCCATGTCTTGTACCTCCTTGCATTTCCCCCCTGCCCTTTACCTCACCTGTTCACTGCCCCCAGATATAATGGGGTGCGGGCGTGGAGGCTGCAAGCATTGCAGCATCAGAGGTCCTGGTACTCAGAACCCTGAGCTTTCAACATACCCACACAGCGAGGACCAGGCCCCTCTTTCTGTGCCCCGAAACAGCCAATTATGGTTCCTGGGCTCAAATTTCAGAGACCCTGTGTGTGTGTGTGTGTGTGTGTGTGTGTGTGTGTGTGTGTGTGTGTATGTGTGTCTGTGTGTGAGTGTGTGAGAGAGTGTGTGTCTGTGTGTGTGTCTGTGTGTGAGTGTGTGTGTGTGTGTGTGTGCTCCTAGACTTACAGCCTGTGGGTCTTCAACTGCCAGCAACCCCAAGAACAGATTCCTGAACATTCCTTTAAAACCTTACTCACTTCATGTTGGATGACTGAAGTTGCCTCAAATCTAGGTTCCCTGCCACCATCAAATCTGTATTATAAACCTTTAATGTTCGCAACAGTTAAACCTCTGTCTTCAGTACCTTATGTGGGCGACTCAGAGGCTGTTGGTCAGCTGTGACTCAGATCTCACCTTGTAACGTGCCCCTTGTTTACCACCTCATGGTCCCCTGCCGGATGCACCCCCTGCCTAGAGCCCCCACACTTCACAGCCTGATCTCATCTTCACTCCTCTGTGCGGCCCTCACTTAGTGTTGTGTGGGCAGTCGGGTGTGTTGGAAGTGATGTGGTCACCAAGCTGCCGTGTACTGCATCAAAGGAACCCCTTAGACCTAGGAGATGTTAACAGAGACCACGTAAAAGGCTTTTGTACTCAGCTGCCTAGTTTTTATCTAAAATATAAAAAATAGAAAAACAGAAGCCAACACAGTTACAAAGCACGATCCAAATAAACTAGTCAGCACCTATTGCCACTGGTTTCCAGTCCCTTCCTCTCCAGTCTTATTACAGTGACTGCTTCCCAGCCTGGTCTCCACCCTAAGGCTGTCCAGAGCAGGCTCCTGGAGTCACAGAGAGGGCACAGAGGAGAAAAGCTGGTCTGACTTCATCTTTCCATCCTTCATTGTTTGGCAGGCAACAGATTCCGGAGAAAAGCCAGAAGAAGAAAAAGAAAACGAAGTGGCGAGGGGACCGGGCCACTGGCACTCACAAACTTCAGTGTGTGATCTTGTGACAGCCTGGAACCTCGGGCACAGCACCCATGAACTGCCAGCCCCCAGGACCAGCCCACTGCCTAACTGCACTGAGAATCACTTCTAACCACAACCCTCGGCTCTGGACTGGGCACAGGAAGGGAGCGAGGGAGGACGGCAGAGCAGACAGGGTCTGGCTTTGCCGCCTCTCCCAGGAGAGCAACAGCTTCCAAGCCCCTCGTGTGTTGACTGAGCCCTGTTCCCAGTCTCCTGGTGGGTGTGTTGTTTCTTTTAAGTACATAGGGCTGGTTTTCTGTGGAAGTTTTATCCACACCCAATATACCAGACAAGCCATGAACAAGTTTCCTCGCCCGCCCCATCCCCAGTGTCTGAGCTCTGGTGTCTTTTGTAGATTTTTAAATTATTTGAGTAATGATTATTTTATTAAAGAGGTCTGTGCCCATTGCCTGGTGAAGCCCAAGGCTTTGGCGGACCTCTCGGCTAGTGTCTGGAACAGTGCTCTTGTCTTTTTAACTGAGAGTTCCTAGCAGTGCCAAACTCCAGCCAGGATGAAGGACTTACCTTGGCAGAAGCCTGGGGTGGAGTCAAATCCAGGAAGCAGACAGGCCCCGGAGACTGGAGAGAGGGAGATGGGTTTATCTGGAGGACTCGGTGTGGCTGAAAATGCAGAGATTAGAAGAGAAAATGCCCTCACTGCTACCCCACCCACCCCCGCTGCCACCGAAGTGAGAGCTAGCCGGGACCATTTCCCCACTAGAGGGGTTTCCTTGTCCTGAAAGTGGGTGAGGCGAGCGGCTGGCTTTGCCAAAGCGCTCCTTTGCTTTTCAGGCAGTGGATGAACTTTTCAGGCGTTCAGATGTGGACAGGGCCCTGGGCTTCTCAGATGTGTCCCTTCCTGCTAGCTCACATCCCGTGTGTTGCTGTGCCTCTGACACAAACATAGGGGCATGTCCAAGGAGGTAGATGTGACACCATCCAGAAAGCTGTTGTCTATGATGGCTCTGACCTGAAAGCGCCCAATACCGTTACCACAGAAGCACCAGGACAGAAGCCATTTCCACCTGAGTCGGCTGGCCAGCCAATGAGCACGCCCCTTCTGGCCAGCCAATGAGCACGCCCCTTCTGGCACCAGCGGTATGGCTTTCTTCTGGTGCACACTTTCCTTGCCCTCTCTGTCTTAGGTCGAAGGGGAAAGGAGGGTTGGGCTGACAGCACAGTCCACACACTCATTTCATCAGGACACCCCTCTCCTACCACGATGCGCCCCCCCCCCCCCGTGGTTCTGCTGCTGGGGCAAAGATTGGGTTTTCCAGCTGGGATCTGGGTGGGGGGACAGCAGAGACCAGGTACATCCCGTGGGAGGGTCAGCAGAGGAGGTGGCACAGCTAGTGAGGTCACTTGCCAGCTCACCGTGCAAAATGGAGGGCCCCCACCCGGTGGCTGGGCCACTCTGGAGAAAGAAGTTCATGGAAAGAAATACAAGGCAAGGGAGCACCAAGTGGATGTCCAGCCTCACGATCCTTTTGCAACCCAGAAAGTCCTAAAAGGGTCATCATCACAGAAAGCCCGTCCAAGGGACAGTTCTGCTTCAGAAGGAAATGATTGCCTGCTAAAGATGAAACTCCTTAGTGTCAAATGCAGCCCCCACCGCCCCACTTTTTCCTGTTCCTAGAAAGGATACCAAAGAACATTCCAGATGCGGTATCTCACCATTTCCCGGATCCCATAGTACTTAGGAATTTTTCAACACTAAAAGGACCAGGATTTCTCCAGCCTTAGGCTCCCTGAGCTGCACCCACAGCACCTGCCACCTGGGGAGAGGGGGAACAAAAGTGAGGTCCTGGTGCTCCGCAGAGACAGAAGGCTCTGCATTCACGACAGCAGCCACTGCCAGCGAGGCCCTGTCTCTTGCCACCTGCCACCAGCACACCCTGCCTCTGTGGTGGACACCTCCACTGTGCCAAGTGGGGACTCTCACTAGAAGCAGAGCAGTTGCCTAGACCAGACTCCCAAGTCACACAGGTAACTAGAAGGGAGGCTCCCAGCATTCCTGCTCCTCTCAGAAGAGGCAGTGTATCGAGGCCCGTCATCCAGGGCATCCCTTCTAAACTGACTCCATACTGGCCAACATCTGGCCTCCTACAGTCTCTGATTCAGGGCTCCTGGTAAGCCTCATCTCCCAGATTCCCATTTCTCCAATAAGTGAGCTGGATATGTAACACCCCAGAGTTAGAAATGGGCCTTTGACAGAGTTTCCAGAGAGGCCCAGTAAAGTACACTCAGCACACCTTCATCACCAGCTGTCAGGGAAAGCCTGAAAACCTGATTGGCCATGCACCGGGTGACTGGGGACCCTTTGGATCTATAGCCAAGTTGTCATTCTGAGGTTCCCTCTAATTTTGCAGAAATGTGTGTTCCCATCATGTCCCCTGGCAACCCCTCACCATCCCTGGCAACCCCTCACCCCACCCCTCTGTTGTGAATCCCCTCACCCCTACCCCTCTGTTGTGAACCCCAATTTTCTCCCACTGCTCTGACACCACCTTATAGGCTCCTTTTCTCTCCTAAGCCATCCCTCCCCCTCCCCAGAATGGGGCTATGCCATGGCCCTTCCTTCCCAAGCACTTTGCCACGAGGGGGACATCTGGATGTTTCCCTTAGGAGTTTCCCACCTCCCCATGGCTCTTGCTGTGAGAGTACCTGATTGAATTAATGTAGCCTGTCTTGCCTGCCAGGAGATGTGACCCACAAACCCTGGCAGCTCTAACCCTAGCGCCCCTCAGACCTGCTACACTAAGTCCAGGGCCACAGAAGCGTCCCTTCCTTAGCAGCCCTCCTGGGTGGAGACTCCACATTGGCTGGGGTTTACCAAGAATGCCAGATACTTGAAACTGAGCCCTTTGAGTGACAGTATTAACGGATGGCCGTTGTCGAGAAACGAGAGTGATATCTAGACATCTTGATGATGCTTGAGTCTCTTATGTAACTTTTTATCGAGTCTTTGTGTATCTCTACTTATTAATAAAGAAACAAAGAGAAATGCTGGTCTTACTTCCTGTGGCTCAAATACCCCTAGTTTCGCATTTATCAGTCCTTTACCCAAACACCTCTTCCAGAGCACGGCCGTGGGCTTAGCTGACCCTAAAGCACAGAGGATGCCCACTGGTGGCCACAGGGCACCTCCTGTAGGAGCCCACTTCATCAGCGGCATACCATCTGTCCCTCTGTCTTTCCGTGGGAAACGGTTCCTATATTCAAAATGGTGTTCCTGACCACCCTCCCCCATGACTATTTCACCCAGCTCCTTGCTTCCAGTTCTCAACCCCAAAGTCTTGGACTTGGCCTTCCTCCACCTCCACCCCGTCCTGTAAGCAAAGACTGGTGATTCCCCCCTGCAAGCTATATCTAGAATCCACCCTTTCCTAATGCCTCCACTGCTGACATTTGAGCTGCGGGCGCCATTGTTCATGTCTTGCTCTTACATTCCCACAATTCATTCTCAACACGGCCAGCAAAGAGGTCTGGGGGAAATTTATGAACTTATGTCTCTACTCTGTCTACCCCACCCTCTACCCAATAGCTTCCCGTTATTTTACAGGGATGCTGAGGTGGGCTATGTCATTACACACAGGCAATAGATGAGTAGGTGGCCGTCAGCTGCAGAGAAGAGCAGCCGAATGTGTTCCTTCACTTGATACTAGATGCTCACTGGGTTCTGAGCCCCACCGCAGCATCAACAGAGAACATCAAAACCACTGACTAGTTGAAAACCACAGTCACATGTGAGACCCACCAATCGCATCACTGTTAAAGTGTAAGACCTCTCTCCTAGGCCTAATCTATAAAAGAACCACCTCTCTCTATCCCCCCCCCGTATATGGTCCACGTTCAAGCTGGTGTCACGTGTCCTCCGCAATTGCTCTCCGCCTTTTTGAGACAGGCTCTCCCACTGAACCAGCAATGCATCAGTTGCACTAGGCTGGGCTGACCAAGCAACTACAGGGATCAGGCTGCCTCTGCCTCCCCAGTGCTGTGATGACAGTACGCTGCTCGATCTGCTTTGCACAGGTGCTGGCACTCAGGACCCCATGCTTGCACAGCAGACATTTTACCAACTGAGCCGCTTCCGTCTCTAGAAGGACTATTTGAAGAATCCACTCTGATTTCTTTTGAAGAGGCTGTGGGTCAAAGGCCCCAGGTGTCACAGGCATCAGCGTTGTCATCACGCCACAACTTACTGACATGTAGACCTGGGCCCTGTCACCAGACCCCAGAGACCTCAGTGATTCGTGTGGAAGGTGACTCGAGCAGCGTTGCCCTAGTAGCAATTCAGTCCAGGTTCACTACCTCCGGACAAAACTCTACCATATCCACCCACAGGGATTGCCCAAGAACATCAGAAAACAGATATTTACATTATGATTCATAACCGTAGCAAAGTTACAGTTAAGAAGGCAATGAGAATAATTTTGTGGTTGGGGGTCAGCACACATGAGGAACTGTCACAGCATTAGGGAGGTTGAGAACCGCTGCACTAGAGGAAGACAGACTGCTGCAAACAGCTGCAAGAGTCTGCCTAGTGACAACATGAACGCGGAAGTGTCGTCCCACAGGCACCGCACGGAGCCATCCGTAACAGGAAGATTTTGCACAAAGGACAAATGGGCTCCCAGGGTTTTTGTTATTTATTTATTTATTTATTTATTTATTTATTTTACTCTTGGCCTATTCTCCAAATGGGCTCCCAGGGTTTCTGTTATTTATTTATTTACTTACTTGTTTTACTCTTGGCTTTTTCTTAAAGTGTAGGCAATTGCCACCTTTAATCCCAGCACCCAGGAGGCACATGCATGCAGACTACCTGTGAGTCCAGAGGCCAGCCTGGTCTACACAGTGAGTTCCAGACTAGCAAGGCTTACATAGTAGGACCTTATCAAAAAAAGAAAAGAAAGAAAGGAAAAGAAAAAGCAGTCAATAATCTTGCAGACAGTGAAATCCCACCATCTGCCATCCAGGCTGGGGATTCTTTGAGCATCTAGATAAAGGGTAGAGCATTCTCTGCAAGCAAGGGATGCTCTCATTCCCAGGATCTCCATTCTCTGCAGCTTCTGGAGCCTCAGCATCGTGCCAAATAGCTCATCACTATGCTTAGGTGAACATTTAAGGATAAAAAGCGCTGAGTTCCCAGGAAGCCAAGAACCTACGGGGGCTTTCCGTGCAGAGTGCAACTGACCACACTCATGCACACAAACCCTCTTTCTGTTCGGTCCTGAGACCTATGCCTGGGTGACAAAGGTAGTAAGATCCTGGATAAGTGCTTCTTTCTCATCATGTCCTCCAGAGCAGTGGCTTCAGCATCAGCAGGCCATTTGTTAAAATGACCATTATCCTGCTGCGCCCCAGACTGTCTGCTGAGCTGAGGTCCTACACTCTGTGTTTGACAAGGCCTTCATGGTACTCTAACGCTCCCTGTAGTTTGCAAATGACCAGGTTAGGCAAGTGTGGTAAAAAGTCAAAGCTTCTCCACGGTGGAAATGAACAGCTGCAGAGGTTGTTCTTATCTGCTAAGCAGCTGTGGTCCCATTGGGTGACGACACTCAGGTCATTCCTCTTTGCTTCCCGCATCTAATTCATAAGGGTCCCTCAACATCAGTGTGACGATGGAGCAGCCCAAGAGCTCTCTCGTCAAAGCCAGGCTCTTCTGGTGGTTTCACACAGCCCCAGAGAACAGGAAGGGGAAATGAAAGGAGTGAGGAGCCAGCTACTCTGAAGAAGCGCTGACAAAATTGTTAACTGAGTGGACATGTCCCTGCAAGTCCTCCTACGACATCCTGCAGGAGGGGATGGGGTCAAACTGCCTTTCTCCCAGTTCCCCCTACATGACCAAGTGTGTGACCTACATGACTCACCTACCTCCTTCCCCACTGTGGCAAACATCATGAGTGTGTGTGTGTGTGTGTGTGTGTGTGTGTGTGTGTGTATTTGTAGCAGTGCTGGAAGGGAACCCAGGAACTGTGCATGCTAGGTCAGAATTCCACCACGGACCTAGATTCCCAGCCCCACAAGCAACTCTTATATTTTCATTAAAGCAGGTCCCCTTTGAGGCTGGTCACAAACCTCACTGACATTTCATTTGTCTATCTATATTCCTTACATTTTTATTCTCACCCAGAGAAGGAGCTGGTGGCACAATGGTGATACCTAATGCTTATAAAATAAATCAGTATTACAGATATTGGCCTCTAAGCCTTAAAAACCCAATCCTCAGTTCAGATGGCCTTTTTTTTTGCCCCTATAAGGTATGGAACTCTCATACCTTATAGCAGACCCAAGGTCACCGCAAACTTCAGTTTCCCAAAGTCTCGCTCTCACAGAGACCTCTGTATCTGCCTCATTCCATAGCCCCTCCCCTCCCTGCCCCAGTTTCCACAAAGAAAGCCCATCCTCATAACCACCCTGAACTTTGCTGAGGATCAGCAATGCCATGAGACCCTCTCCCAGCTTAGCTCCTCCCCCATGTCAAATGCCCTCCCCTCAGACCCTCTGGATGCAGATGCGTTTTAAGAACCACACTCCACAATGTCTTCTTAGGGTGAAAAAAGAGGGTGACCCAAAGTCTCCAGTTTGCTCAGGTAAGGAATTTTCTGGATGCTGTTTGTCACAGGTGTAGCACAGGTCTCAGCCAAACTTACGCTAGTGTTAAGAGGCAAATGTTCATCCTGTTCTAGCATAAAAGCCTAATAATTATGAATTATTAATAACCCTATGAATTACTGGCAGGTCCTCGGGCCCTCGTCACTGTCATCCTCCCCTCGGGGGAGGGATAGTTGGAACACGGGCTTGGGAGTTAGCATCTTTAACGTGCTTTTAGAACAGGTTCTAGGTCGTTGTGTGCTGTCTGTCTGGGCCCTCTGAGGACGGGGAATTAGCACATCCAGGGGACACACGGGGAGAGTACTTGCTTGCATTGTAGAGTACTACTTCCTGGAAGCCATTGTAGAGTACTACTTCCTGGAAGCCATTGTAGAGTACTACTTCCTGGAAGCCAGGCACTGTCCGGCCTCTGTGCCCACCTCCTTACTCACGACCCCACTGTGACATAGGTGACAGTGTTTTGTAGAAAAAGAAACTGAGGCCAGGGACAGACAGGAATGACTGAGCCTCGACAAGTACCCAGCTTTGCTCCCGAAGCCTACGCTCTGTTGCCCATCACCCAACACCCTGAAAATCGAGCTAGCCCAGGCTGTCTCCCCACACCCGTTTTCTATCTTACCCGGGTTTGAGAGAGCATTTCCAATGCGTGTCACACTTCCTTACTTTCCTTCAAGAGAGCCGAACGCAGCCCAACTTCCCCCGAGTGACTCATCACAGCATTTGAGCTCCAGTGACAGTCATTTTCCAGTGTCTGCATTGGACCTCCACCCAGGGCAGCCCTGGCGTGACCTTGGATGACCTTGGAAACCACCTCCAGTTCTTTCCCTCTTACTGTCCTGCCAGCCGAGACTGCCCAGGTTAAGAAGCCCCAGTGGATAACGTATCGGGTGCTCTGGCATTCTGCCTAGAGAACCACCCATCACCAAGGGGGCAACTGCCATCATCTGCCATCACCCCCTTTGGGTGGGAGTAGTTAGAAAACAGGATTTAGCAGCTTTCTTGTTTGTTTGAGACAAGGTTCCTCTGTGTAACAGTTGCTCTGGCAGTCCCGGAACTCGCTCTGTAGACCAGGCTGGCTCCAGACTCACAGAGATCCGCCTGCCTCTGCCTCAGGAATGCTGGGATTAAAGGCGTGTGCCACAACCAAGCATCTTGGGTTTATCAGTTTTAATTTGCTTTTTGAACGGGTTCCAGGTAATGCTGTGTCGGGGCCTCTGAGAACCATAAGTTAGCAAACCCACAGGACAGACACACACTTTCTTTGCCCCCAGTCTCGATGCAAATTTCAAATAGTTTCCCAAGGTCATGCCCTCATGGTGGCCTCTTCATCTGCCTCTATCCCACGGCCCCTCCCCTCAAGTTAACTCATGCCTCAGTTTCCACAAA